AAAAACTTAGGAACACAAAAGGAAATGACCTACCGTAAGACAGAGTCAGCGAACACAATAAGCATCTCAAGATAATAGTCTGAAATAGTATTTTTTAAGAAATAAAAGGAACTAAAACCATATAGTAAGACGCTAATATCAAGTGATACCCTCCCATTCTTTCAGATGCCAGGTGTGTGTTTAGACCCTCAATTTTTCTAATAGCCTTCCATGCAATAGGCTATCCTATATGATATGACTAGAGGTTCCGGAAAGATCCACCCAACCTATTTCTCCCTATCACCTGTCAAATACATGCAATGCTCAAATTAGCCACCTCTTTTACTTAAGAGAAATTTTCAAAGTACATTTATAGGTCAATATATCAACGTAACAACATCTGCATCGACAATGGTTTCTATGGCTTTTTTAACTTGCTTGTATAAGAACTGGGGTGTTGGCCTGTTGCAACAAACTTTGTTGCCACTTTGCATCAGGAACATGATGAGGGACACAAGAGTTGTGGAGCAGGTTTGCAAGGCAGGACTCTGCTACTTCAGCAGAAGTTCTTGTGCCATTTACTGAAATCATACAGGCTAGTAAAAGCTGATCATGAGACAATGGTATGAGGAATAAGGTGTAGGGGGGGGGGAGGCAGGGAGCCGAAGGTTTATGAAGGACATTGTGACCATACGTTAAGAAACATTTGTGGACTCTGTCGGTGGCTCCCTGCAGGGCCTAGGCCCCAAGCAGACCCTGCAGGTGTCGCCGCCATGACGGCTTTCTCATCTGTTGGGCCGTGTCCCGGCAGAACCCTGGAGAGTGGCAAGATCACCCCATGTGTGTCATTCTCTGAGAAAAGCAAGTTCTCAAGGAGGGAAGTCTGAACCTGTCAAACAATCCCTTAAGAAGCCAAAGTTACCAGTAGGTCGTTTTGATGCCCCAGAAGATTCCAATTTAGAGAAAGAACCATTGACAAAATTTCCAGATGATGTAAATCCTGTTACCAAAGAAAAAGGTGGACCCAGGGGCCCAGAGCCTACCCGATACGGAGAGGGGAACAAACAGGACGCTGCATTGATTTTTGAGCTGCATATTCTTTAACCTCATTAATTTTTCTGAATCTGTACTCTGAATTATTTCTGATTATCTTCTTTCTTATATCCTTTAGATCATCCAATTTCTATAATGTGTTTAAAAATATATATGTATGTGATGATTTTGGAAGACAGTATGCTGCTATAAATTAGAAAAGGGAAAATGTTTCTTTATTAGCACCTATTTTAATTTTAATGTCTTGGGGAGCATATAACTGATCATTAAAGGTGCAAACTAACTTCATGTTTCAGTTTAAATTAATCAGTTGTTTGTAAATGCATGTGTAAATAAAAGTTTTTTAAATGAAAAAAAGAAAGAAACATTCGTTTCAGCAAAGTGTACGTGTTGCTATGTATATGTGTTGCTATTATCACAGGCAGAATTATCCTGAGACCACCATAGAGACAGTCACATAATCAGGTCAACAGTAGCCTAGGCGACCTTGGGCCTGCCTCGTGATACAGGCAATTATTGTCCATGAAACAGGAATGCTCTGTTGTGATTTGCAGATAGCAAACAGGTCACAGTTGCCCATGAAGGTCAACACATAGGACAGAGGTGCAGGGGGTGACAGGATTCACCAGTGACAGAGTGGGGAGCAGAACGTGTGGATTTGCTGAAATATACTGCTAAGGGAAGTAGCGGGCAGACAGGAGAGGTCTGCTCTGACATGTGGGTTAGCTCCCTGGTCCAGATCCAACTCAGGCCACAGCAGTGATAGCCCTGAGACTTAATCCACTAGGCCACCAGGGAGGCCCCCCACAATGGTTTCTTTATTTAGCATGCACCCATGGGAATGCAGATGCTATTAGTTTGGAAGAGAAAAAACAAACAACTCAGAAAAAGGTCACTGACATCAAAAAGACAAGAAAACAAAAGGCATCTAAAAAAAAAAAAAAAACAAAACAGAGAGATGGAATGAATACAAGAGCATAAAAAGGCCTCCCTGGTGGCACAAGGGGTTAAGATGCAAACTAAGAAGCTATCCCCAGCCACTGCAGCATGAGTTCGATCCCCGGCCAGGGAACTACTCATACATGGCAGAGCAGACCTCTCCTGCCACGCCCGCTGCTCCCCTCCGCAGTATATTTTGTCAGTCTGCCTGTTCTGTTCCCGCTTCTGGCTCTGGTGAATTCTCTCACCCTCCAGCACTTCTGACTGTACCCAGTGCTTATATAAATAAATAAATAAATCTTTAAAAAAAGAAAAAAGAAATACTACTTACACAAAAACACTCAAAAACATTATTTGAATAAAAATACATGCAATTCTTAAATTCATTTTAAACACAGCAAATAATGTCCCCTATAGTTGGAATATTATAGTTATCCCAAGTTGCTGATTTTTTCCTAAGATAGGGAACTAAAACAGTTTTCAAAAAGAGAAGCAAAAGGGCCTCCCAGGTGGCAGAAGGGATTAAGCACAGCTCTGTGAAGCTATCTGCAGCCTCTGCAGCAGGAGTTCAATCCCCTGCCAGGGAGCTAACCCACATGGCGCAGCAGACCTCTCCTGTCTCTCCCACTGCTCCCCTCAGCAGTGTATTTCAGTCTGCCTGTTTTGTTCCTCACTTTGTCTTTGGTAAATGCTCTCACTCCCTGCACCTCTGACCCATACCCCAGTTCTTGTATGCACAAATAAATAAATCTTTTAAAAAAGAGAGAGAAAGAGAAGCAAGACAGCAATAATAGAAAGGAATTATCTTCATCTAATAGTGGGCCTCTGGAAATCCCACTAAAAAAAAAAATCTATTTAGATAATATAGGAAGTGTATTTGAATTTGTTTAAAGGGGGAAAATAAATGAAAAACTCAATGGTCTATGTTCGGGGATAGGAGAAACAAGTGCGTTGAATCAGAGTCTATACTGTCCCCTCCTCCATTTAATTTTCATCCTTATAGACTTTACCATGATAAATTATTTCTTCTATTCCTAATCTGTGAATTTTGTCTTTTTGGGGGCTTCATGAAACTATGTTTCCCACATTTACTTGCCTTGCAACTGACTGTACATGGCTTTGGAACTCAAAAATCTGAGCTTCAACTGGCATTTTCAGGAGAATTTCACTAACAATGTGTGGCCCATGAAACAAGACCACCACTAAGTAGTAAGTGTACAGGGAACTTTATGATCCATCTAAGCTTTTAAGAAACAGAAATGTCTTTTTTACAGCTCTGACATTCCCAGGAATGTATCCATACTTATATATTTTCTGAAAATAAAAGGGAGCAAACAGAATTCTCAGCAGGGTCCAAGCGATGGCCAAGGTGCAAAATATGGCCACCTAGGCCAAGTCAAGGCAAACATCAAGGAGAAAATCAGTCACCTCTTTAAGGACATCTACAAAAGCAGTGTTCGCAAATCAAAGTGCTATGCAGAGTTGAAATAGGGCAGTTTCCAAAGCAGTTACAAGAGTAGTAAGTACATGAGAAGCAGAAATATTTGTTAAATGTCCACACTTAGCTATGCCCTTTACAAACATGCTCTGTCTTCCATTTCAACAGCACTCAAATTTTGAGAGTCAAACTGGGAAAATTTCTCCAGGCACCATCATTATTCAGGATTAAAGTTACCAATGGGGAAAACAAACAAAAACATATATATACACATATATGTATACATATATATAACTACAGAGATAAAAAAAAAGCAGCCACTTCTACTGTCGCCCCAACAATCTACCCCTGAAGTAAATGTGAGGACACTAGAATTTAACTCCCAATAATATACAATGTATTGCGCCTGGCACCTAGTAGGTGTTGAGTAAACATTTGCTGTTTGCTAAATGAGTACTGACAGACCTTAGCACACAGGATTTTGGGCTTTGTTAACATGCATTGAACACTCCACTCATAAGAACACATCTTAACACACACGCACACGTATCTAGACATGTGGGTGTCTAGTCCTGAAAACGCCCTCAAGACAAAAAAGGTTAGTACTATAATAGTGAGACAGCATGATGATAAGTGGAGAAACTACAAGCGGAAATTCCAAACACTTAAAATTCTTCCAGTCTTTTTGATGTCAGTTCACTTGGTTTCCATGGAATGCACAGGTGACTACCCAAAAGTAATGCATTTCTACTTTGAAACTTTAAGACTGCTCTTACCCAAATCACATAAAATCACATCCTTATAAATTTCACACCAGAGAGTTTGCATTTGAAGGGAAGACACATATTTACAAGTAATATGCTACATGTTCAGTAAACCTCAACAGACATGCACACAGATTTTATCATCTGATGAAGAGCTACCAGAAGTATAGTTAATTCTCACACTAGCAGATGAACGTTTTTACTGCCCATCAGCTCAATTCGTAGATCAAATGTGTGGTATTCTGTGTTTTTCCATCCTGTCTTTACTCTGCACTTCAAGCACAGGTAGAGAAGTAGGCTTCGTTTTGTTGTGGGGTTTAAAAAAACGTCTCAAGGCGGCATAGAGTTTAACTCCACCAGCTTATTTACTAGCAGGTCGGTGTTCTAGAGAAGCAAACCATAAATCAGGCACAAAACAGGCTCTTTCGAAATCATTTCATAGAGAGAGAACAAATGGCAATGCAAAACACATCAGTCATTTGTTTCTCGCTCTTAAGAAGCCAGAGCTCCAACCAGGGCTGTGCCCTGGCCCCCGGGGGGTACAGCCCTGCGCCCACCCCGACGCCCTGGGCCAAGGCCGCCAGGGGAAACCAAGCGCCGCCAGGACCAGGCGCTGTCGGGGTGGCCGAAAGCCCAGCTTGGGGACTGGAGTCCACTGTCCCCCTTAACTTCGCCGCAGTTACCCCGGCATTTCGCAAACCTCCTCCAACTATCTGCACTTCGCCAGGCACCCGGACGCCCGCGGCGGCTCCGGGAACCCATTGCCGGCTCTCCGAGCCTGCGCCCTGGGGGAAGCCCACCCGGGAGGCGCCCCGCGAGCGGCTTACCGAGCAGCGAGCCTATGAAGATGACGACCTGCACGGTGGTGGTGAACTGGCGGTACAGCTGCGCCTCGCCGAGCGCCCCCAGCGCGCTCCGGTTGGCACCCGCCGCCTCGGCGCCCGACGCGTTGCGCGGCTCGCTGGCGTTGCGGGCGATCCAGCTGCCGTTGTGCCCCATGGCGAGGCCGGGACCCCGGCTCTCCTGCCCGGGCGCGGAGGGACGCGCGGGGGCTCGGGGGAGCCCTGAAGGAGCCGGGGCGGCCGCCGGTCCCCTCACGTCTCCTCACCGCCAGCCCCAGCGCCGGGGAGGCGGGGAGGGACGAGGGCGAGGCTGCGCCCCATTCCCGTTCCCCCCTGGGTCCCCGTCAGCAGCCACATGAAGGCGGCACGGGCAGCACCCGCGAGCGTCGCGCGTCCCTCCTCCCGGGTGGTCAGCGCGGCCGAGTCCACTCGGCGGAGACGGAGACGGAAACGGGGGGGCGCGGGGGGCGTCGGGCGGTCACGGAGGGCGCGCTCGGCTCCCGCCGCCCCCTCTCACCCCCGGCCGCTCCCACCCCTCGAGGAACGGGGCGTCCCCCTCGCGTCCCCCCAGGTGGACGGGCTCAGCCCCGCGCCTTCGGGGGCTGGAAACATATGGCCGAAGCCGTTTTTCAGTCCTGTCGTTCTCGAGGTTAAATGGCGATGGGAGACCCGTGAAATGCCCGAGCCAAGGGGTCGCAGCCCCGAGGGGACCCCCGAATCCCCGACGGGGCTCCTGTCCTGAACGGAGTGCCCTGAGTTTCCCTCCAGCCTCGCCCTCCACGTCTGCCCGAGCCCCGGGACGCCCGCGGGGTCTCCTCAGACCCGGCCGTTGGCTGGGGACTCCCGCCTCCGCCCCGGCCGCGGCCGGCCGAGGGCACCCGTTCCGCAGCCCCTTGCCCGACACTGCCCGGCGCGCTCTCCCGGCCCCGGTCAGCTGGAAGGTGGCGACGCGGAGACGCGGGAGGACGCCCCGGACGCCCCGATTGGGGGAGGGGCGCGGTCAACGCGGCCGCCACACTCCTGGCGCGCGCCCAGGGCCGCGGGGGCGAGGGGGCGCGAGCGGGAGACCCGCGCCGGGTGAGTGGTCACGTGAGCATAGGCCCCGCCCCCACGCCGAGGCCGCCGCGGGGATGGCGCCATCTTGCTGCTCCCCCCACCTCCACCCCCGCCCCCCCGCCCTGCCCAGAGCGTGACTGCGGGGCGGGGAGCATGCGAGGCGCGGACCACCCGCTCTGCCCGCGTGGGCTCGCCCCGGCGCCTCGCGGCCGTTTTTCCGCTCACGACTGTCGTTACTGCGCCGTTCCTCGTCCTCAGGGACCACCCGAGCTCTTGATTAGTCGCCCCCCCCCCACCCCGCGCTGGGAGCCGAGGGCCCTGGCTCCTCCGCCAGGCCGTGGTGGGACTGAAGGATTTAAGCTGGCGTTTAGAAATCCGGTGTTGGGTTTCTCAGGCCCTCTTACTGCGTCTCATTTCCAAAATGTGCATAGTGTGACCCGGGGGTCGTGGATTCCGGGACTCCACTCGTGTATGGGGAGGGAGCAGCTTCTGCGGGCTAGTTAGTGCCTGTGTTTGGAAAGCTAAGGTAAGCGAGAAGCTGCAATGTGAGAGAAGTTGAATGGGAATAGAGTCTTGGGGAAGGGATCTGGGCGACCGAGGGAAGGAGAAATTAGAAAAACAGATTTTCTTGGTTTCACTTAACAGGTTTATTTGTTTATTTTTAATTCTCATAGCTGCCAGGGAAATAGGTTTTTTTTTTTTTTTTTTAAGATTATTTATGCTTCCAAGAGCTGGGGTACAGGCCACAGATGCGGGGTGGGGGGGGGGAGAGGGGGGTGAGAGGATTCACCAGAGACAGAGTGGGGAACAGAACAGGCAGACTGACTGAAATACACTGCTGAGGGGAGCAGCGGGCGAGACAGGCGAGGTCTGACTGGAGAGGTCTGCCGGGCCATGTGGGTATCTCCCTGGCCAGCTGGAGCTCAAACTTGTGCTGCAGAAGCTGCAGATTGCTTCATAGGGCGGTGCTTAACCCCTTGCGCCACCAGGGAGGCCCAAAACAGGTTTATTTTTAATAAATGGTAGAGAACATTGACAGGGTGAATGAAAAGATCCCAAGACAGTAGCTCTTTAAAAATTATTAACATTGGGCCTCCCTGGTGGCGCAGCGGTTGAGCACTGGGTTGTGAAGCTGCCCGCAGACTCTGCAGCGCCAGTTTGATCCCCGGCTGCTCCCCGGCCACCGGAGGAGGGTCCCACGTGGCGCACAGACCTCTCCTGCCTCCCGCTGCTCCCCTCAGCAGTGTACTTCGGTCCTTCTGCCTGCTCTGCTCCCCGCTCTGGCTCTGGCGAATTCTCTCACCCTCCCGCGCTTCTGACTGTACCCAGTGCATGTATAAATAAATAAATAAATAAATAAAATCTTAAAAAAAAAATAAAAATTAAAATTGAAAATTAAAAATTATTAACATTACAGATTGACTTTTTAGTTTTCTCTAGGGTGATCTTGTCACAATGTGAACTATTTCACATTCACTTGTAAACTTTATTACTCTTCTTGAAAAGGCAAAATTCCCTATCTTTCACATCTTTGGATTCTCACAATACCTACAATCATATTCCTTTATGTAAGCAGTTACTTTAAACACTTTAGAGAACAAAAATGGGGAAATTGCTAATTACACTAATTCTATTTTCCAAAATTAAAAATAAGCCATCTCCACTAAGCATTTGTTCTATGGGGAGGGGGAGTCAAAATATTTTTCAAGATCAAAACATTTTCCTTACAGATATCCCTTTACTCACTTTTGCTTGCCAACTCTTTCAAAACTACCAAGAAGACTGAGATAAAGGTGTAAGACAACTTTGCAGATGTAAGGTATATTTAATAAAGCTAAAAACCTCTATCATTTTTGTATTCTGGAAATATATCACTAAATTCTCTACAGTTCCTAAACTGGGATTAGGAGGGTATAGGGCAAGTGAAATCAAGAAATAACCTCATTTGGTGCCCTGGTGGCACAAGGGGTTAAAACACAACCTATGGAGCTATCCACAGTCCTGAGTTCCAACCCCTGCCGGTCAGGGAGCTACTCATTTGGCGCAGCAGTCCTCTCCTTACTCCGCTCAGCCCATTGCTCCCCTCAGCAGTGTGTTTCAGTGCGTCAGCCTGTTCTGTTCCCCACTCTGTCTCTGGTGACTCCTCTCACCCCCGACCCGCACACATCTGGCCTATAGAAGCACACACATACACTCATGTACAGATTCACATGCATACACTTGCACAGACACAGTGCAAGACATGTACATACACCTAAAGAAATTAGTGCAAATACCCAATTACATACTTATTGGTAGCTCTGCTTCACTCTCCTGTTTCTCTGCATTATCACTACGTGACCACTCTGACTTTTCTAAAATTTTCTAAAATTATCACTGCTGATTATAAGAATTTTTTTTTTTAAGATTTATTTATTTATACAAGCACTGGGTACAGACAGAAGCACGGGAGGGTAAGAGGATTCACCAGAGCCAGAGCGGGGAACAGAACAGGCAGAATGACGAAATACACTGCTGAGGGGAGCAGCAGGCATGGCAGGAGAGGTCTGTCATGCCATGTGGGACCCTCGCTGGCGGCTGGGGATCGAAATGGCGCTGCAGAGGCTGTGGGCAGCTTCGCAGCTGAGCGCTCAACCACTGCGCCACCAAGGGAGGCCCTGACTATAAGAATTTTTAAGGAAATTGAGGTATGTGATGACCAATGTGTTGGAAGTGTGGGTGCATTCATAAATGTGAAGCAAACGCAGTCGATTTCAAACAGCAATTTAATGTGTCATGGGTAGACATTTTAACTGAACAATCCATTTCAGACTGTCTCCTTCAGGCAGAGAAAGAGCATTCAGATGCCTCCACGCCCCAGGGCCCCGCAGGCAGAGCAGGTCACCTGGAGGTGGCCACTGCAGTGGGGAGCCACTGCGTCCATGGCAGCCGCCTCCTCCACCATCTGGGACCTGCATTGGAAGAGAAGAGTCAATAAAGCCCAAGCACAGAGTTACCTGTTGAGGAGGCTCTTTTGTTAGTGAAATCCCCCGAGGAGTGCTGCACAGACTTAGATGTGACAAAACTCAGATGGAAACCAGGAGGCCCTACGAAGCTGCCACTAGCTGGCAGGTGAGCCATTCTCCAACTTGGAATTTCCATTTTGAAAAGGGGCCCAATCCAGGGGGACTTGCTACTGTGGATGTCAGTCCCTGACAGCGCCACTCAGCCCAAAGAGCTCCTGCATCGTCTGTGCCATGCGTGTGCCCAGGAGCCGACAGCAGGGTTCTCCCAGCAAGGGGCAGGGTGGCCCTCACGGGATAGACCCTAAGATGGGGACGCAAGGCACTGGATTCCCCACCTCTGGCCACCCTGGGGGGTGCGGCCTCTGGAGGTTCCGCCCGCACAGCTCCTCTTCAGTCCCAGGTCCCTGCATGTGCTCAGCTGCTCCAACCCCTCTCTCCCCCACTTCATCTGCTCTGCTCCCCTCCAGGTGCTTCACCAGTCCTGTTGCCCTCCTGGCCCTTCACCTGCTCTGCTCCTTGGACTTCTGTGCTCCCGGACATCTGTGCTCCATGTCTATGCATCTCATGCTGCTCCTGGCCCCTCTGGCTGGGCCCAGCCCCTGACCCCTCTCCAGAGCCTCGGCCTCCTCTGCTGTGCTCCTGTTCACCACGGCCACTGGGTGGGTGTTGGGGGGTGGTGGTGAATTCTGCAGAGCATGGTGGTAATAGTCTTAGTCTCTGGCTGTATGAACTCTGTAGTGTTTTCCATGGAGCTCGGGCCCGTGAATTCCGGGGTGCCGCAGTAGGTCTTCAGCAGCACTGCCCCGGAACACAAACAGCAAAATTTTAACATAGTATTGATTATCCTTCTAGCTCTGGCCTTATCACCTCGGCCTGAATTAAGGGTGTAATCTGAATTGTAAGCATTGTGTTCATGGCCAAATCTTTCTGCAGGGGCCACCGCATTGCTGAACGGGAGGCGCCAGCCACTTCTTTGGGCAGGTCTTAGGGTGGTGCTGGAGGGCTGGGGGGCTGGGCTGGTTTTGCTCCTGTATTCCTGGTCCCCCTCCAGCTGGAGGCCTGGCAAGGTGGTGGTGCTGTGTTCCTTGGGGTCCTCCAGCTGGGGGATT